ACACACACACACACACACACACACTGTATATAATATATATTATATGCTTACCTTGAAGCCGAGCTGCGCCGCTTTGATGGCAGCAACGTAGCCGCCTGGACCTGAGCCCACCACCGTGACGTCTGCATCAACTACGGAGGCAACGCAGCAACTTTTATCAACAGATCAGAGCAACAGATCAGAGCAACAGTTCAGAGCAACAGTTCAGAGCAACAGTTCAGAGCAACAGTTCAGAGCAACAGAACAGAGCAACAGAGAATTTATCCCTCACTCATGAAAAGACGGGAGAACTGCAGCATCAAAGTTTTAGTTCAGAGTCCTCTGATGATGTAACTTTATCTGAGGACTCAGAATGCTGTGATGAAGTTGTCATAAATGATGTTCTCGCTGTGAGAAAAGGCAGAGCATCTGTAAACAGGTCTGGACCTCTCGTACGTTTGTTATTCTGAATACGACTGAACCGTTGTTTTTAAGTCTCTCGTAAGTTCACATTCAGTCCAGTGTTTCCTAAATGTGGAAACAAAACAACGATCGCACATCCGGCTCCAGTCCAGAGAGTCTCGAGCCGTTAATACCGACGGTGATGAGCTTCATGAGCAGACTTACTTGCTGCTTTGTCAGCGTAGCTCCTGACAGACAGCACTGAGGCTCCGTGCAGTTTGCAGGGAAGGTGGTGGCTCCTCTGTGAAAACAAAAGAAAGAAAGAAAACCTTAAAACAAGATGGTCACACACAAAACGATCCGATACAGGATCACCAACCACAACTAAAGCAAGTAAAGGTAATACAACCAGTTCCTCTGATAATAAATGACACATAGGACACGTGTTTTCCAGGAAACTCCCAGACTCAACAATCTGTTATGTTTTGTGATTTTCCTTCAGTACAATTTCCTTGTTCAGCCGCTCAAGTGTCAACCTGAACACTGTCTGCATCACAGTGAAGACATCATGACGCTAACGCTCTGATTTAAGATCAAATACAAGCTTATTTAACCAGAGGACAGTTACAGTACAAAGACAGAAGAGTGCAAATAAACTCATTATAAAAACACATACATATCAATAAGGTGCAAAAAACTAATGTCAGAAATGTATACAGGTGACATGAGAGGATTGTAAGAAATAAAGAAGTTAATCTGCAGTCAGCATGGAGCTAAAGTCACATTAAGAAAACAGGAACATAAATAAGTTTATGAACTAATTAGCTGTTTACTTATAGAATACATGTATCTGAAGACGTTCTCAATAAGAGAGAAGTTGTTAAGAATAAATGTGTTAGACGTCTCAGCCAGAAGTCTCATAACGGTTAGCATTAGGTAACCACTGCTAACTAGCTTAGCGTGCTAGCACTAGCTTAGCATGCTAACATGGTTTGTTGGGAGGCGGCTGTCAACTGTAACGACAATTAAATTAACTAGTTAAGTTAACGTTACATCTAGAAACGCGTTACCCTTAAACATAATACAAATGTCACGTGACCTCATCTCAAAATGTGTGTAATTAGTGAACGAAGCACCGTCAGATAACACCGACAAACGAGCTCCACGAATGCGTTTCAAACATTCAAACACCAAAATAAGTCATTATATTTAAATATGTTGTTAATTTAGCATATACCGAATTAATAAAGGGGAAGGTATAGAGTTAGTTAATGTATCAAATGTGTATTAAGCGACATATTTATTCGCTGACAGCCGCAACAACCCTGAATCTCCCGTGTTACCGGTGGAGTCTGGCGTTACGTTCTCTCCATACGAGTTAACCAGGCCCGCCGGGCCGTAGGTCTCTAAACACCAGTAACCAGTACCCCCCAGGACCAAACTCTGGCCGGACCCAGTTAGAAGCTTCTCCGGACAACACACGCTGGTTAACAGATTACATATAATCCGTCCTTACCGTGGCCAGAGAGCGGTATAACTGCGTCCAGCTCTGCTGCATTTTAGCCCGTGTTGTGTCGCCTCTCACCGGATCTGTAACCTACAGAAAGGCCGACACAGCCAAGGACTACCGTCATTGCGCATGCGCAGTACCAGTAGTCCGTTAAAAAAAAAAAAATAAGAAACGCCCGTGTAGGTCGCCTACATATGACGTCAGTGATTGTGAAACCTGAAAAATCTCTCAACTCGTCACACCGACTCTCTGGTTGGGGAAAGACTTTAAAACAAGTAAAACAACAAATACAATGTTTCCAAAAAATATAGTTTCTGTCCTCTGTGAAATATCCAGAAGTATTCAGATCCTTTACTTTAGTAAAAGTACTAATACGACACTGTGGAAATACACCACTGCAAGTACAAGTCATGCATTCAAAACCTTACTGAAGTAAAAGTATGTTTCAGCTAAATGTAGTTAAAGTAAAAGTATTGATTGATCAGCAAAATGTTTTCCTATTATATCTGTTTCTGCATTAATATTACTGCTGCATTAATGTGCATGTTGCATGTTTTTAACTCCTTTATATGGTTTAATCTACATCAATTCCTCATATTATATAAAATCATCATATGTTTGTAGACATGAGGAACACTTAATCCTTCAGTTTATCACATAATCTTCACTGTAAAAGGCGTAAAGCTCTCAAAGCACTACACTTTGTTGTCTGATGCCGAGTTTCCCGCTTTGATCGCCTCCAGGTTCTCAGGGAGGGCCGAGAGAACCCCTTCAGAGGGATTCAGGAGGTGGAATCTGAAGGTTCTGGGTCTTTATTGAACCAGGAAGGTTTGGATTTAAAGCTGATGCAGATACACTTTTGCTTACGACACCAACTGTTAAAGATAGACTACGAAAGATTACTAAAAATGTTTAACTTTACACTTTTTCTGCAAGTGTACAAACATTACAAAACATTTGTTGTGTTGTCTCAGGAGCGTAGAGCCCTCCCTCAGGTTCCCCGTCAGCTAAACGCTGTTAGCTCTGTTAGCACTGTTAGCTTCCAGCTGCCGGCTCAGCCATCAACATGTAGAGGCAATAGATATGCTCTGAATATCAAATTTAGCACCTTTAAAATAGAGAGCTTATAATTTGTTTTTCACTTTTGCATCACAATAATCAAATATCAGTCATTTGTAGCATCAATCGTCCATTCTCATGGAAGTTTTAAACCTGCAAGAAAAACCTCTTATTGTATATTAAAGGTATTTTCACTCTCTTCTTAGGACTAAATATATTTATACCTATGATTTATTGAATACAAATGTAATAAACTCACATTGTTCTTTGTCAGAGGTCAGGAGGTCCTGACAGCTTAATGCATGTACAGTAGGTTTACTGCCCCTCATTCAGTTTTAATGTCGGTTCTTTGCATATTCTGTGGATGAATTTTAAATGACTCTTCTTTGAGCTCCTTTGTTGTTATGTCCACCTGTTTTGAATGTGTATTATTCATGATGACCTGAAGAGATATCCCTGGAGGACCAGTTATCCTACCTAGCAGACAAAAGTGAAGTGGATAGCAGGGCCGTCTTTCAATCAGAGGGTCGGCGGTTCAAACCCCGGCTCCGGCTCTGCTAGTCACATGTGGATGTGTCCTTGAGCAAAACACTTAACCCCAAAAATTGCTCCCGTAGTTGTGCCTACGGTGTAGAAATGTGATAGAATCTGAATTGTAAGTTGCTTTGGATAAAAGCGTCTGCTAAAATGACTATACTGTAATGAAATGTCAAACACAGGTGAAACTGTTACGGCATAGTTATCTCTGGTACTTGGATCAGAACCAGAGTCTAATCTCGCTCCATCAGAGAGTACGACAAATACTAACATCAGTTAATTAATACTACCAACATCTTCACAACTACACTGCAAATTTAAGCCAGGGGCTGAAAATAAGGGGAACAAAAGCAGTGATAAGAATCTTAAAAAAACAGCACATGTATACATCGTTCATCAAAAATACATTTATTACACTACATGAAAGTGAATCGAGAAAATTAAATGTATTACTGCTCAGAGTGATTGACAGGAGAGATTATTAATGGGGCAAAGTTGTCATTATCATCATCATCATAGTAAAACCCAGGACTAAAGTATGGGTAGAGTTTCTCAGTGAAGCTGCAGCCAGTAAAGGAGTAGATAAGAGCTGCAGCATCAACGTCATAAAAGGAGACCAGACCCTCCTCATAATCCACAAACACCCCCACCTTCTGAGGCTGAGACTTCAGAGAGAGACGGACTGAAGGGTCAGCAAGAGCAAAGTACTCATTCTTATTCCTCAACCATATCGTCCAGTAACCATCCTGAGGGCTCAGTGTGATGTCTCCCTTCCTGTTGATCGACTCTCTGGCCACTCCTAAATCCCAGTTAGTCTTCCCTTCAACCTGAACCTCGTAGTAAAATCTTCCTGAAGAGAAACTCTGCTTTGATAAAACATTAACACAAGTATCAAATCTCTTTGAATTGTCTGGGTGATATGTCCATTCTTCACTATCATGTACTTGTTTTCCATCATCAGATAGGATGAGTTTGGGATGAGCTGTATCAGGATCAAGAGTCACATCCACTGCAGACTGCTGGACCCTCTTCAGCTCGACGAAAAGCAGATAACTTATCTCTTCATTAAGCATCTCCTCCAGCTGATTCACAGTTCTCCTCACAGTCCCCTCATATGAAGGTGGACTGACTCTGACTCCTG